TTGAGACTTTCAGCAAATCTGAGTGGACTCTAATTATTTCGGTGCGACCGACCTTCGAATCTCTTTACCCGACACTTTTACTCGAAATGGAAGTAAGCTCAACATTTATGAAACAAGATATTTCTCGATACCCAACTTTTCTTCGCATTTCTAATTATTTAGACGCAAGTGAAATGTCAAAAGTGAAATAGGTAATGGTTAAATCTGTTAATTAATCCGATTCAAGGCCTGATATGTGCCAGCCAGACATGTCTTCTACATGATCCTACTTTTGCCGGTATATTAGCGGCTCGTTGAGTCGAAATCTTCTCGAGACTCACCTTAGCGACCCACAACTGTGCTACAGAAGCAGATGCCTATGCATTTGTACGTCCATGTCTGCCCTCAAAAAATCCATATCAATGATGCACAATCTGGTGACCCATAAAGTCTTCTTTTGTCTGAACGTCTGGCCCACAGAAACTGTGTTGAATTAGCGTCTGTCTGGGTGTGTGTTTGTGTGCGAGCCACCCCCTCCCCAAAAGACGTAATTGTGCCTGCTTCACTGGCGTAAAGGGTTGTGGGAATGAGAGCCTACAACAGGCCAAGATTGAGACAAAACAGTCTGTTTGTTCACTTAATGCAGCAAAATCTTGTGATTTTTGCCTCGCCTTGACGCGATCTCCACATGCCCTCGTCGCCTGTCCCCAATCGGGCAGACCGGCCGACCGGTCGGCCAAGTTGCTACAGTCAACTCACAATGTCAACGCAGACACGAGTGGACACGCAGGCATGGCCACCACTTCGGGGGCAGAGTGAACAGATCAGGGGGCCGCGGTCTCCGGGAGAGGCAGGCATGGCAACGAGGACAGCGACCCCTGCCCGGCAGACGATGGGGCATCCGGAGACAAAAGCCAGCCAAGAGCTGGTCGAACCGTCCGGTGAGTGTCCGAGTCTGGTTGCACCGAAAGGCCCACAGATTGTGTGCACAAAGCCGCTCCTTCTGGCCCGTCAGGTCGTCTGCTTTCTCCACTCTCTGCACCCTTTCAGCCTTTCTCTCTCTTTCTCTCTCTCTCTCACACACACACACACTTATACACACAGATACTCTGTCAAGCCGCAACTCACAAGCTCTGAAACCCTGCGGACTATCATCTGCCTCGGCCAGTCTCTGCTCTCAGGACCCGGGTCTCGCCGTCGCCCTGTCTCGTCGGCTTCGCCATCTTCTTCTGGGAGCCGCACGGTCGATAAGCAGTAGCTACCGTTTGGCCGACTGAGGCCATTTGAGGACGCTGCATGATGAGGGTCGCGCTGTATGGACTCTGGAAGTGAGCTCTCAAATGGATGAGACCAAACTTGGTGATTCCCAGTATCCACCCGATCGGAAGACACGATTTGGTAGCACATAGTAGTCCATACTCTCTGTCAGCACCCGATTCCCACGTCCTTAGGGGTAGACGGGCCTGGCCGACCGATTGCAGTCTGACATTTTAGGCTTTCGTGTAGCCGAGCTTTTTGGCAACTTACTGGGTGACATTTGCAGGCACGAGCTGTTGCACGCACGCAATGGCGTCG